AGCACGTAATGCTACATCTTGATGCACATACAATCTCTATATGACCATATGTGATGTTTTTGACTCAAATACTACAACACAAGGTCATAAACTCCATTGTTATACATAAAGCTTGATGAGTGAGGCTCTCTGGACCTCTATGGATCCAGATCCAGAGCCTCAACAAAAGAAGGGAACTATTTGGAATTAAAACATCCCATAAGTGTCCATAACAAACCCTAAATCCCATTATACTTCTCAAAATAGAAGATAAACCGAAATCATACCTCTAGATTGCTGATCTAAGCTTCAAATCCACGAAATAGCAACCTCCTTTGCCTCCTCTTGCCTAGAATCTTCTCCTTTATTGCTAAATGACACACACAAGGTCAAGAATGCTTCCTTTCTCTCTCAAAACGTTTAAGCACACAAGGGTTTCTCTCTAAGGGTTGGGTGAGCACAAATAACAGCCATAAGGCCCTTTAAATAGGCTGCAAACCCCGGAAATTAGGGTTTCACCACACAGCGTGGACTCGCCGAGTCCACTCTTGGACTCTTCGAGTCCGGACGCGAACCCGTGCCCAAATCCACGATCCTACTCGGCGAGTCTGGGCTCCAACTCGCCGAGTCCACTCACAATTTCCATAAATAAAACCAAAATAAATACCTGGAAATTCCAGGCTGTTATAGATGCTCAGGATCATCTACCAACATACTGAACCTTCTAGAGAAGGACTGAGATACAAACGACCGCCTCGCCCCCGAGTCAAATAATACCAAAGCGGGGGAAGAATTTACTAAAAACATACCTAATCACAGGTACAATCAATAAGCATACCACAATACAATAACTGAGACAGAGAATAGAAATGTACCAGCAACCACATCTGGTGCTGACTTGGCCTCCTTGGATGTGAGCTGGAAAGCGCGACCCTAAGCCTTTGAAGGCTCCACCTTGACTGACCTCCCATCTCCAATCTTCACAGCAGCTGGCGCTGAGCCCTGTGCCGACTTGGCAGCAAGCTGCAGATAGTTGGTCTTCACATGACCAACCTGATGATAATTGTAACAAATCCTCATATGTGTGGGAGGGGCGGACTGGCGACAGTCCCTGGCATAGTGCCCATCCTTGTGACATTTTTGGCACCCACCTCCTGCTCTACAAACTCCCGAATGAACCCTACCTACTTTCCACAAGTATGGTTCTGATGACCCCCAGACCGTGTATCAGCGGTCTTAGATCGCTTAGGCGCCGACTGAGACTGTGCCGGTGCTTGACGCTGCTCCTTCAGCTGCAGCTCTATCCCCAACTAAAGCCGCCTCGCAGCTTCCTGAAGGTCGAGGAGGGTATAACATCGCTGGGTAGACACGAACTGTCGAATATCAGTCTTGAGCTTACTCAGATAATGAGTCATCTGAGACTACTCCGAAGTGAACTTCGGGCAAAACATAGCCCTCCCCGTGAACATACGGGTAATCTCTATCACAGATTCCCCATCCTGTCTCAAGGTTAGAAACTCCTGCACAAGCCGCTCCCACTCAACGTGTGGAACGTAGTGGGTGCGAAACATATCTCTGAACTGCTCCCAAGTAACAATAGCCCGCTAATCGTCAGTATACGACCCAGTCGTCAGCCTCCACCAGTCCTTTACCACAAGCCTCAGTAGGTTCAGGGCACACCTGACCTTTTGGTCAACAGGACATGAGCACATGAAGAAATAGCCCTCCACATCAGACAACCACCTCATATCCCTAATCGCATCCTGTATACTATAAAACATCGAGGACTTCGTATTATCGAAGTCCCGATACTAGAAAGCCCTTCCGACTCCTCCTCCCATCCCTGCCACAGTTACAGCCGAAGTGGATGCAGCGGCAGCTGTCTCTGCTAGAGCTGCATATCGCTCTTCAAAATAATTGACCATCACGGTCTTAATTGACCCAAACATCTCTGGCAGCTGCACTCGGGACGCAACAGCAATCTCGTCGTGTATGATCTCCCGGATCATGGCATCCAACTCCTCTGTCCCTATCTGAACCACGGGCTTAGGTGCTACCGGCACTTCCAACCCTCCTTCTCCCGATATCGACCCCGATCCTGATCCTGATCCTGATCCCGAAGCAACACATCTCGTCACCACCATACTGAAAATATATATATAAGCCATCAGATAAATAACATAACATCGGGAGACCAAAACCCAAAACGCCAGGGGTCGTGATTTCCTTGCTACGCGTATGGGTCATGTACTTTTAGTAGTACGGGCCCATACTACCTTCCACACCTACCCATATTTGTCTCAAGTATCACCACAACTCCTTAACAATATCATTAATATAGAAATGCGCCCAACCCTCACTTCTAGAGGAATATCAACTATCTCGCATCTAATCTTGCCACTTGTCATAACCCATACATTCATGAAACTTCCATCATCCCCCGCAGCGCTAGTGCATGCTAGCTGCACATAACGCTGGACCCAATAGACTTTCAAATATTTAATCCTACCGGAAGACCGAATCAACATTCTTAGGCTATAAGGTCTTTGTTATGCACATCCGTGATACATACACTAAACATCCACAGTGATGATGTCAATTGCACATACAAGAAACCCTAGGCTAATAGGCATCATGCAATCAGGCAAATCTATCATGTGATTCCTGAAGATCCCTAGCCTAGCACTAGCATGCTGTTCTAACATATCAGAATATCAAATAATTGCATGGTATTTTGCGGTTTAGTTACAGTCTCCGGCTGATCGTACCATCTACATCCTCCATCCTTCATTTTGAAAACCATTTTAAAACTTATTTTCTGAAAATCTCCTTGATTTGAGACTGGACTCACACAAGTGTTCCTCCAATTCACTCAAATTATGGCTTTCATACCAACTTCTAACATCCATAAAATTCACAAAAATTTTAAACATTTTCAATCACAATAGAAACCACATTTCACTGTTAACAAAATGTTTTCAAATCATTTTTCCCATTAGAGTGTCCCAAAAATCATAACATAAGGATGAGGAGCGATACGGTCATGCTTTCGCCTTTCCCCGATCTCCTGAAGTACCTGAAACAATAAATTGAAAAATGTAAACCCGAGGGCTTAGTGGGCTACCACCAAAATACCAACGCCACACTGACAATACCATAAAGAGTAACAATCAATCAATCAACATTCATACTGGGCCATCGGCCTGACTGGACTGCCCAACCGGGCCTACAGTCTGTCTGAATCTATCCCGAGCCTTCGACATGACTGGTCCGCCACGTGGGCCTACAGTCCCCCCGAACCACTCAAAGGGTATATTAGCCTTCAGCACAAAGCAGGACTGCCTCAACCCAGCCATAACAAATAACCATGTACGCATACTATCATATACAAGCATATATATAAACATCAAAAGATCTGTCACACAGATCATAAATCATAAAACTCTGTTGTAACTAGAGTACCGACCTAGCATGTCACTAACATACCAATCCCTATGGATCGTAAGAGCATAACATATTGTCCACCCTGATTCCTATCTAACAGGTCATAACCACATGTATCATACCATAACAATAACAACTAAGGGTCGGCCTTGGTGTCGTAGACCCTATCAATATAGTGAGGATAACTCACCTCGCAGATGTCGAATCGGAAGGTAAACTCCAACTCTCGGATCACTCGACACCAAACCAACCACCATTAACCATAGTTCAATGTACGCATAACCCTTTATCCTTATAAGGTACTCTGTAACCCAATAGTTAACCCATAATCAAGGTCCAAGTCCTCAGTCAAGGTCAATAATCCACGTTGACCTCAACTCGCCGAGTCCCTTAAAGCACCATCAAAATCGTCGAGTCATCGAGGTGACTCGTCGAGTTCCATCGAATCCCGATCAACCCCTAAGGCCACCCGTCGAGTCCCCCCCCCCTTTTCCAACTCAACGGATGTACTCGTGAACATATTCTTGGCTAAAACTCCTCCAACTCGCCAAGTTGTTCTTCAACTCGTCGAGTCTAATAGCAATCTTCATCGGACTTGCTAAGTTGTTCAACCAACTCGTTGAGTTCAACGTCCATCTTCATGCGACTCGTCGAGTCGACCATGCGACTCGCCGAGTCCATTCAGTCCTCTTCCCATACAGATCCATTTTGATCCATGTAACGACTCCAAATCATAGATCCAAGCTTCTAAGGCATGCTTATCATGTAAAGTTGCAAACTTTACGTACATGCATGGCTTTAAAGGCTCAAAATGGGAAATCTAAGCTATTGAGGGGTCTTTATACACGAAGGGGGCCTCAGTCACGACTAAAGCTGCAACTTTATGTTTCTAGAATCCAAAGAGAGTCCATATCTGAAGTTACAACTTCAGGTATTTATACACGAAGGGGGCCTCAGTCACCCAAAAAAGAAGATTTATAAGGAGAATAATGGTTTGGGTACATTTTAAAGTTGATATCTAAGATGAGTGTTGATTCCCACACTCCAATTGCTTCAATCCTCTTCTCCTCCAAGTCTTCTCACTCCAAGGACTCTCTTTCAAGCTTCAACACACCCACACAAGCCACACACAGACGAATAAAGCTGTCAAGGGTTCTTTGGAACTGTAAGGAGGTCCAAGGGAGGGTAAGGCCCCTTTAAATAGGGGTGCAAACCCCAGGACTTAGGGTTTCACTTGATAGCTCCTACTCGTTGAGTCCCTATATGGACTCATCGAGTATGTCAATTAACCCGTGATCCTTCTTACTGCTACTCGATGAGTACGCAAACCAACTCCTCAAGTAGGGCCTAATCCAAAAAAAAAAACTCATATTAACAACACCTGAGAGTCGAGGCGTTACAACCTTCTCAACCTCATGGCGCACATTTACGAGCTCCCCACTAGAGAATTTCTTGCCGATAGCGATAAAAGAAAAGCCGCATTCCAACTTCTAGGGGATCGAAGGTACATCAATTTTGCAATGATAAATGACATCTTGGGCTTGCCTTCTTCAAACACATACACAGTTTTCGACGTCCTACCTGCTGAATTCAATCATGAGACCTTTTGGATGGAAATCACTGGGGGTATCTTTTCGTGTGTCGGTCGGGATAAAGCAACCTCTATCGTTCACCAGTGCCTCCGCATTGCCCATCGCATCTTGGTATGTACAGCTTTTGCCCGCAAAGAAGTAGGCCAGGTCACAAAAAATGAGCTCTTCTTCCTTTGGTGTATGACACGTTGCACAAACCCACCAATCACGGACTTTGCTTAGTTCTTTTTTAACGAATGTGCACATATGAGATCCAAAGTGTCCGGTGATATTTGCATTGGGGGATTTGTCACACTTTTGGCTCGCGGTCTTGACATCGAGCTCCCAGATGAATACCAGCCTGTTGACAGCAAAAATCTTTTGGATGAGTGTGCTCTCATAAACATGCACCACATCCGTTGCAGGAATAGGAGTAGTTTCACATGGTATTGTCCTCAAGGGGTCGGATATCTCATTCTTCCCGACCCTCGAGTCACCATCTTCACCTTCCACGATCGCACTCAGTGGAGAATCACGAGGACCATCACTCAGTCGGTCAATGAGGATGTGCTCCAGGATCAAGATTATTACGAGATGCATGTGAATGACGAGCCCGGCGATGAGCCCACCCATGGTCCACAACACGCCCAACCACAAGCCCCTCCCGAGTACTACCCGCTCCCCCTAATTTTTCCGAGCGATTCGAGTCGCTTTGTGTCTCAAATCAAATCATGTCCCATCAAATGCACCATATGTAGGGGTGGCACCAATCCCAAAACCATTTTGAGAATGTCCCACTTCTGCCTCCCTATCCATACCCTTACCCACCCATCCTTAACCCCCTCCACCTTACCCTTACCCCTACCCCCAAAACCTGTATCCTCCTCCCGATCCCCCGGTTTAGGTACTTTCGCCTCGCCCCAAGCATTGAGGACAATGCTTATTTCTAAGCTTGGGGTGGGGTATTCCTTTTTCTTTCTAATTTATCATGCATTTTAATTAGGATGCATAACATTTTAGTAGAAATTACATTCATTTTTTTATATAAAACCCCAAAAAGATTTTGTTTTCTTCTTTTTCATCTTTTATTTTTTCATGGCATTTAGATTAGGGCATTAGCATTCATGCATTTTTGTTTTCTATTTATTCTCACCTCTCTTGGATGCCATGGAACAGGTTCATGGTTATAGTATCATTATTAGTCTAGGATATTGTTGCTATCTCACCCATCGAACCGAGACCATTAGCTGCAGTTTCGGATTTCATACTTGGGATCAGATGCTGGTAGCTTAAAGGGGTAAGTGATCATGCCCGGGTAGTTTTCATGAAGAATTATGCATACAATACTAATGACTGTAGGATATATTAGAGCAATGGATGTCTTAGACTTGCGGTCACTACTGCCGAGAGGATCACACTTGATCATGTTTGAACCGTTAGGATGAAGCAATGGTGCTTGTCCCCGAGTAGAATTCATATCCAGTCTCTTTACATCACCATATCTTTTTCGTGATTTTTTTAGGTTTTTAGAGAGTCTTTTAGCCCACATTAGAGTATTTTCTTTATTTATGGAAAATCAAAAGTTTGAAAAGGAGCTTGCATATTGATGCTCCGCACATGGTCATTTTCACACTTAGACCATTCGAATTATTATTTCTACCCATTCAGTTCCACTTACATACTTTTGGGAACTGAATTTTGAGTCAAAGCTGCTTTCTAGTTAAAAAAACAAAAAAAACAGAGCAGGCAAATTCGCAGCTGCAGAAATCTGAGAAGGGTGATCGGTTCAATTATTGAACAAAATTTTCCAACATTTTGGTCACCCGGTGTTTGATCTTCGTTTATATAAGTTTGATTAATTGTATTTAGATCGAGTTGTTTTTCGCAAATTGGTGATGTTAGGGAGACTATTGAGTCGGATGCTACGGGAGGTTTGGGCCAACACCAAGTGAGTCGATTCCTACAACGGTGCCCGAGCGATTAAATCTACTTACACATGAGAGAAATGAGCAAACGTGAGATCAGAGTGTACACTTAAAGAAGAGCTTCACTCGAGCCAACCCAGCTGCTTTCTCCCTACTACATATGTTCTTCATTGTATGCAGGTTCCATTGAGGTTGTGACTCACCATCCCCCCTTGCTCAACTAGAGGAGTTGATATGGTTGTGGTTTATGGTCCCATTGTCATCGTATGAAAATGTTGTGAGATAGCAGCGAGGTCAATTCTGACCATGTTGACTAACGTTGAACAGGTTCCATGGTTCTGTCCATTATTTTTATTTTTAGGGTAATTCATCTCAAGTTCATTTTAGTCTTTTCTTACTTGAGGACAAGTAAGGTTTAAGCTTGGGGTGATTAGATAGTTTTCTTTTTATTACTTCTTTTCATAGTTTATTTTTAGTTAAAGCCATCTCATTTTAGTTAATCTTCATGCATATTTTCTCTTTTTGTTATTTTACTCCTTTACCGGGTTCTTTCTAGTCTTTTGATCTTATTTGTTGGATTTATCGAAGATTATTTGTTATTGGAGGTTTGGAAGGAGTGTAGTACTATTGGAGGCATGTCATTTGCTTGTGGACTTAAAGTGGTGCGATTGGGCTTGGTGCTTGCATAAAGAAGAAATCAATTTGGACTTAATTTGTGAGCATGGATGATGATGAGGCGACACAAAATCAAGCTACAAGAAAATTGAAAGAGTATTGGTTTAATCATTAGAAGGATTTGGAATGACATAAATGGGCTCTAAAGAGTTATGCATGTGGGCTAAAGTTGAAGAATTGAAGATTGCGCTAGAATGCATGTTAAATGGTGTCACACCCCGAAAACCGAAGGCGGAAACATTTTCGGGGCGGACTCCACGTTGAGTATCAAAACCAATGCACATGGTAAGTAAGTAAACAACCATTACATTACATATAAAAGTTTACATTTGTTCAAAAGTAAGCTGTACAAGTGTGATACATAGTATATATGAACAAAAGTAAGATGTGTCTTCTACGCACTCCGTCTTTGCCAAAATGGATCATCGGGTACCTGTCTAATGCGGACCTGAGAATACAAGTAGTTTGAAAATCAGCATAAAGCTGGTGAGTTCATAAGCGGTTTTTTTTTGTGAAAATGTACGAGTTTCCTTTTGGTTTCTGAAAATGTTACGACCCAAGAAAATCCCATATTTTCTTAAAAGTAATGTTTGGTTAACTGTTAGGTTACACGGTTCTGGTTATGTTCAACTAAGATCCCAGGAAAATCCCATATTTTCCTAATGTGAAAGATGTATACTGAAAACCTGGTTACCCTTGTAAAGTGTGTGTTAGTTCACCAATCCCAAATGTAATGTAAAAGATGTACTCTAAAAATGTATTAGTTTTAACACATTTGTAAAACTAACATATACTAGGTAAACTAGTTACTTAACCCATTTATTACTATTATGTAAATATCTGTTATCGAAATTGAGAGTTCCACAAATATACTAAAGACTAATTATGGCAATAAGTAATCCATTTTGAGTCTGTGACTTTCGTCACCCTTGAACCTTTCGGAGAGGCTGTAGCTAGCAGCCAGGTGTGGGGTAGTCAGCCCCGTATAGATCTACACACTCAAGTCATGCTCCCTATATAAGAGATTCTGGTTACGGGGGCAGTCCTCTACTCGCGTATCTCTATGGAGTGTTCACCGAGGACGTTTCTCCAATTTATAGGAATAACAAATTTACTACTAATAATACTGAAAGATCAAATGACTATCCTCCACTCGCGTATCTCTGTGGAGTGTTACCGAGGACAAAACAATGTTCAATTGTTATGCTTTTAACTGTTATAATGTGGGAAAACATTTGTGAAAATATAAATACAACAATTTATAATGTATTTCACAAATACTATGATAATGTATTCTGTAGGTTCAAATGGTTACTTGTTACTACTGTCAGTGTTAAAAGTGTTGGGTTATGAGCATTCTAACACTCCTAAGTGTACATGCAACCCTAAATACCTTGGATCTATGTTTTCTCTATTATACATGCAAATATGAACATCCAAGGTATTATCCTAATCTAGCATACAAAACTATCAATATAACAGGATAGAATACATACCTCTTTGATGTAGAATGTCTTCATGAAGCTTGAGTGCCTAGTGCCCCAAGTGTGACACCTCAAATGGTTCACACAACACCAAATACACTTGGAATAACTTGAGAGAATTCTACACTTCATGAAATCGCCTAGCCCTTTCTTAGTTTCACTAGTGGCCAATTTTCCTCAAGAATAAGATGCTTATATAGTTATACAATTAGGGTAAACCCTAATTGTCATGACTTTCCATTTCCTTGGATCCATGGGTTCAAATACATCATGGAGCATCCATGGAGCATTGTAACAGCCCGAAATCTCAAGTATTGTTGAAATTATATTTTTGGGGTGTTTTAAGAGGGGACTCGGCGAGTTGGAGCCCAGGCTCGCCGAGTAGGATCGCAGACCTGGTCGTGGGTTCACGACTGGACTCGCCAAGTCCAGATAGGGACTCGGCGAGTCTGCGCTGTTTAGTGAAAACCCTAGCCGTTCAGGTTTGGGACATATAAAAGGGACTTATTGGCCGTCATTGTCCGTTTTAGCCTTCTGAGAGGAACCCTAAACCGATTGTGTGCATCTGGAGCAAGGTTAAAGGCCATTGGTGATTTTGAAGGAGTTGTTGTGCAAGGAAGAGAAGGGCTTGACTAAAGGAACAGCAATGGAGTCACGTTCCGAGGATTGGGGACACAGAGAGTACATCATCCAGGTAAGAATTCGAGTATACTCTACTATGGTAATGTGTTTAGAGGATTAGGGTTTATGGAACCCTTTTGTGGATAGATTGAATGTTACCCTAGTTCCCCAAACGATTGTAACCCCGGGTTGGGACCTTTGGAGGTCCAGAATGTCCCATGCCTGTGCATTTCAGGAATTGATGAAGGTTTTGGATTGAAATCCTTATGCCTTAGGTCAACATGTAAATTATAAGTCTTGGGGTGTAGCATGAGCACCGAAATGAGGACGTTACGTAATGGACCAGTCTAGGAAGGCCAGACCTATGAATGGTCGGAGCAGTTCTGACCTTAGGAAGCAGTTTGAGCGGCTGCATGGCATGGACTCGCCGAGTCAGATGAGCAGACTCGGCGAGTAGCTTGAAGAATAACTGGGACTCGTCGAGCTGTTCCTCAGACTCGGTGAGTGGAGTCGGGGTGGCCCTGCGATTCTTCCAGGAATAACTCGTCGGGTCAAGGAGGATACTCGACGAGTAGAAGGGAAACCTTAGAGGATTGGAGGACAACTAGACTCGCCGAGTCGCCAGAGTACTCGTCGAGTCCGGTCGAGTTGACCGTGGAACGTTGACCAGAGTTGACCTATGTGTGATTTCTTAGGGTCAGTTAACTTGGAAGATAAAAGTGTTAATAGGAGATATATGATGTTATAGGGAGTTTGTAGCTCGGCGGATCAAGTACGAGTGATTTCAGGAGTTGCTAACTTTCAGTATCCACGAGGTGAGTCTTCTCACTATACTGTACCCGGAAGGGTTTGACTATGTGACTGGAAGGTCGGATATGATATGTGATATATGTGCTATAGGTGGTAAGTTAATTGCTATGCGTATCGT